ACAAACTTTTAATTTTAATAGCCAATAAAAATTCATGAAGATCACGAAACGATCTACAAAAATAAGCCAATCACAACAAAAGCCCGCTATGCTCAGATCGATAAATATATAGACAAACAAGTGCTACGCATTGGTTTTTTTTTCAAGTCGCGCATTTTTTATAAGGTCGAATAATTCTTATTTTGTAAATACGTGTCTTTTTTTATAAATAAACAATAACAACCTCTAACATTTTTTATTTTTTTTCTTATAGTATTAATATATAAATAAACAATAGTTAAAAAATAAAGATGACACCAACAATTCCAAACGATTATACAAGCAATACCTCTTTACAATCTCCAATGAATACTGCATTAAATTTAATTGAAGTACTTGAAAATATAATTTCTCATATTGAAAAATAGGACGTTAAAACTCAACATTCTGCTTATTGGTGAACCGTAAATGGTGTAAAATTGCGATTCAATATCTTTGGAGTGAACCTTTTTCTTACAGAATTAAGGAACATCAACTTTACAAAATTATTCCTGTATGTATGTCTTTTTTTCCTAATGATATAATTGAAAATTTGGAAAAATTACATAAATTACCTGCTCCAAATATTAAAGGAATATTTAATTATCCAAGTTATCTTAGATCTTTTAACCTTGAATTTTGGGTGACGCTTTGGTCGAATGGGTGAAAACAACTGGAATCGGTGATCAAGAAGAAGATAGTGAATCTTCTGAAAGTAGTGAAGATGAAAGTTCTGATGATAATGGTATAATGTGTGAAGAAAGTTCTGATGAAAATGAAGACTATTATAATGATGAGGATAGTAGCGATGATGACGATGATGATGATGATGACAACGACAATGACGATGATAATTCTTTAGAGACTCTCGAGAGTGATTCATCAGAAGATAATGAACAAACATCAGATCATGAAAGTTCTGATGATGAAAGTTCGGATGGATTGATGTTTAATTATGAGATTGAAGAAGATAGTATGGAATTGGCTGAGGTAGAAGAACATTTGTTAGAACAATTATGTAGACTTTTTATAGGACATTCCAAAAAAATTAAAGAACTTAGTATTGGTGATCTGGGCGTTGATGGTTATTTTGTAGACGATATGCCAAAGTACATTGGTGCTTCATGTCTATCCCATCTTGCTGCATTAGAATTGGATGGTACTGCATGTAGTGGCGCGTTTATATCTGGATTATCCGAACTTTGTCGTAACCTTACCTCGATAATTATTGAGGACATGGACGATGAATCGCCGTTTATTGATGAGTTGGAGTTGCTTATTAAAAATCAACAAAAGCTCAAACAATTCCAATTAGTAGACATAACATTAGATATGTCGAAGATTATATCGTGTCTTAAAACGCAAATTGGTTCATTAGTGGAAGTTTCACTTAGAGATGTATATATTCGAGATCAAGAATCAATGAAGTCCTTGACACACTGTAGTAAACTTGAAACATTAGATTTATCGTTCCAAGAAAAAAAATATTACAAATCATTCGTCCCTTTATGGTACACAAATTTTCCTAAACTCAAAAACTTTGAAATTTCAATGTTCTATACTTGGCAAGATCCGGCTTTTATCGAAAATACCAGGGCATTCTTGGAAATTAACGGCAAGCATCTTCACAGCTTAAAATTCGGGCTCACTAAGAATATTTATACGGAAATTCTTCAAGATATTAGTAGATATTGTCCAAAACTCTCAAATCTAGAAATTAATAGGATCTTTGATGGTGTTAATTACCTTATAGAATTGTTGAAATCGCCCTTACCGTTAGAAAAATTAATAATTGAATACAATAAAACGAAGCTTCATCGTGCAGATCGAATTTTACCACCATTATGAGAATTATTTGCTCTCAAGAAATTATCACATTTCGAAATTGGTTGGATATTTTCAGCGGAGAGTTTATCAACTCTTTTAGAAAATTGGGACGCACCGATTATCCAGTTTTCTTATTGTTGTGATGAGGATATCGAATTACACAACGAAGTTTTATACCATTATGCAGAAACACAAAAGAATAAAAGGAATATTAAAGGCTTTGATGTGATAACTTCTTCATACCAACGTAATGATATTAAGGCTCGTAGGGTAACACTTTTTATAATTACATAGAATATGAAAAAATTAGTTATATTTAACATTTACATTTATGAAAGTTCGATTGTAATTATATCTTAATGAAATACTAATAATTAACAATTATTTATAATTAATTTGTAGATTCATTTCCAAAAGCTATTTAATAATGCTTTTTTATGATGGAGCAAAATATGTTCTATTTTAAAATCATACTAGCATGTCATAATTAGCAACATTTTTTATAGAAAATTTCAATATTTAGTAGCATTAATAGCTATTAGTAGTTGTTCAATAATTTGTTTACTGACTATAGAAAACATTAAAAAAAATTTACTAATTTTTAGGTAATAAATTTGGTTTCATCCCCGAATCACTAAACAAGTTTGTAACTTAAAAAAAATTTATAACAATACTATTTATTAAATACGACTAGGGTTTATGAACTAATGAAAATTTTTATCGGGCGTGGTTGTATCTTTTGAACGCGTTGAAAATTCCATAATAATTCATGGTCGATCATATTCTTATTTTAAAATTACAATAGTCAATAATCACTCAAGTTTTTTTCAAAAATTTAAATTAATCTAAATTGTACAAATCTGTAGGATTCAAAATATTCAAAATCTTTTGAACATTAATCTATTTTTGAAAGAAGTTTCGCGATTAACTTTATTAACTTTGCGACTATTAAATTTAATAAACTAGTCAAAATTTGAAAAACTTTCAAAAAGGACTTGGCCAATTTCGATGTCCGAGGATATTTCGAAATTTTACAGATCGACATTATTGTATTTAATTAGTTGCAATTTTCTAAGAGGGATTAAATATGTTAAATTAAGATTAGGAAATTAGTAAATATTCACGATTAAAACTTAACCATAAAGTGACGCGTAAAAATAGAGTGTTTTCAATTTGACGATCCGATGAAGAAAAGCAAGAAAAAAAAAAGCGAAAAACTTGAAACGATAGTATGAACCTACCTTGAGTATATTAATAAAAAAATGGTGGGATGGCAATTTCGCATATATAAAAAACATCTCTAGCCTTAACTTAAACGTATTTGCGCGTAATAACGCGCAGGAGTATATTTTCGAATTTTGGCCTAAATTAAGCTTAATTCGGGCCGTGGCTCAAAATAACGCCCCGGTCTGCTATGATGCGCAAATATGGTAGTCAAAATAGTCTCTAGCTATTTTGTGATCCTTTTGTGACTAATAAAATACATTATATATGGGAGATTATCAGTAGAAAAGGGGTAAAAAGTTATTAAATAAAAGTTTTTTGAATTTTAAATTAAATTATTAAAATAAATAAACGCATTAATTCTAGCGAATAAACCTTTGATTGATTGTTGAAAAGGCAGTAATTTTTATTTTTTAAATATTTTTCTCATAATTAAAAGTACATCATAGTACATGAGTGATTGAAAAGTTTTGAATTTAGATCAATATCTTAGTCATTAATTTATTTATTTATTTTTTTTTTTGGTGTTAAGGTGACCTTCTTTGGCCTGGGGACTTTTTATTAGAGTATAACCAGAGTTTTATAATGTAATTACAACGCTGGTTCGACAGTTTCGACATTTTGTCATTATGTGATTTTAATTGACGAAAGTCGAAACTAGGTTTCAGTGCGAAACCTCGAGGTACTATATAAACAACAAAGCGAATTTGGCAAATCAACGTTTCACGATTTTAGGAATGGGTTTAAAATACTATATCAGTAT